CCCATACGAAATTCCGCCTAATTGACATTAGTCCATTAGTCTTGGACGGCTAGTTTCTTTAAATATGGTCCCTTTTATAAAGCTGGTGCTCGGATTACTGTATACAACCCCTATACACAACACGCGTTCATGTTGTGTGTGCCATTTTGTTTTCCATCATTGGAGCAGTATCCCTACATCCTATTTCATCCCTCGGCATAATTCTGTACCTCTTAGACTCTTAGATGCCTAAATTGTAATCCCTCTAAACCCTACCCTAAACCCTAAACCCATATAACCATAAACCCTAAACCGCACCGAAATCTGAGGCTCCGAAAGCTGCTGACGATGGCCACGACGTGCATGAAGACACTGCTGTGGTCATTCCTCTTCTGCTTCGTTATCATGACGCTCTGGCTGGATTTCCCCAAAGGAACAGGGTATAGGATTTTATCGGGTTACCGTTAGGTTCACGGTCCACGGAGTTTTGCGAAGTTTGGGAATGCTTCAAAAGCAAATCGCCAGTTATTTTACGGGGAATTATCTACAGCCTCCCTCTGAGCGTACTATAGAATCTAGTTTTCTTCGATTGCTCATAGGTCGAGGTTTGGGGCTACAGTACAACTCACACCTGAAATAGTCTTAGTTGAGGACCCAGAACCCGAAACCCTGAACCGTAAACCCTTAATCGTAATACGTGAGCCCTAGACCCTAAACCTGGCCCATTGTGTGTCGTCGGAGGATCCCCTGATTGCAGGTTCGAAGCTCAGGAATTGATGTCTACTTACACACACTGACAATGGATTATCTACTTAGGAATACAGGAAACGAAGCTAGACCCTAAACCCTAAACCCTGAACCCTGACTACTATAGGATTTAGGGTTCAGGGTCAGGGGCGCTGAGTAGGTAGGCTACTTTTCTTAGATACCTGGGGTTACTACATGGCTTACAGGGGCTATAAGTCTACTACTTACTAAGTCACCCTGAACCTCCATGTTCTATGGGGTTGACCCCTAAAGGATTGTTGTTCTACAGCCGAAACTATAAACTGCCTTACCGGCCAGGCTGTACCCATTGGAGCCTCCACCTGTCACCCCAATTCCCGCTGGGCTTAGTAGTAAGCACCCTCTAGTTCGAAGTCAAAACCCATTAAATAAAAAGCGGCAATGGGAGTTACTGGTAGAGCTACCCATTAGATTGCACAGCAGTCTCCATTTTCTTTGCATGTTTGATAGATCTTACGCATCCTTGATATACCTTTGGCCCTGCCCTCACTCATTAACAGTTGGATTATGTTTATGATATATAAATAGACATAGCCTGTAATATGACCCCTATTATAGACTGTAAATGGGTGGGGGCAGGACCTTACCCTAAACCCAGGACCCGAGATATACCGCCTTTGAAAGGTTTCTGGTGGTTCGCCTTGACCCTAAGCCAGCGATTCGAGGTATTCTTAGAGCTCTGCCCAAGACTTCTAAAGCCGGTTCGCTTTAGGGTTTAAGATTTAGGGTTTAGGGTTTCAGCTTTCAGGTACTGGGCTGGTACTCAAGGGTTTTGAAGTTTTGGGGGTTCAGGGTTTAGTGTTTTAGGGTCTAGGGGATCAACAAGGTTTAAAGTAAAACTTCCGTCGCCCAGGCTTTGTTCTTGAGATGCATTGTCTTGCATCTCTCTTGTTGGCACATCTGGGGCGCAGTCTTTAGCTCAAAAAAAAGATATTTAGGTGGACCCCCCACCCAGTAATAGGGAATATTATGAGGGATACTGGTGATTATATAGTAGGGTCCTCTATTCCTGTTATATCACAACTACAGGGTGGGCGCTCCACCTAAAGCATTTTTCCAAGCGCGCTGTCAACCCTTAACAGGGACCCATGATGAGAATGCTAGGAATATACCTACCAAGGTCCTTATATTCCATTATATTCCTGCTATATTCTTGGCGTTCCCTATTTGGGGTTCCCAGTAGAGTCCCTTTAGTTTAGGGCTCAGAGTTTAGGATTTGCTTGTGCTCAAAAAGGTTTAGGATTTATCTCCCCGCGCCCTACATCAGAGCAGGGGTTGCCAGCCGACCCAAGCCAAACATCTGTCCCCAAGAAGCGCTTGCTAAGCAGGAATCTGAGTCCATCAGGAGTTTCCCTAAATCACAAGTGTCTCACCTGAGGAGTTGCTGGGCAATGCTCCTAGTCGACATCGTCTATCCGCTTCTTGGGCTGTGATTGGCTCACGTTTCGGGTTCCGCGCAGCAGGTCAATATTGTTGATCTGTCATGACGCTAGGGCTTCTGACTGCGTGGACGCGGGTGTCTGAAATTAGTAAAATGCCTTCTTGTTACAGGAAGCTTCAGGGTTCAAGGAATTAATCAGACCCCTTGCTGCCGACGAATCCCCAAGAATACTGAATCCAAACATTCACCCTCAAGCGGTGAACCATTTTGCAGCCATCATTTTTCAAAAAACCCTTTGCCTTCAGTATGCAGAATATGGGTTCCCATCTTCGTGGCCAGCTGGTACAATGTTTACAGGGGTAGGTTGGACATGTTGTTTGATTTCTATTTCGTTTTATCCCGTATAATCCATTTACAGCCATAAGAACTCAAGTTTATAGTGGCCCCAAGCCTACCCTAGTTGGGCTTCAGGTCTGCAGTGGTCCAACTGTTATCTTGCAACAATAAATGGGAGCGTGTACGGATATGCATGTATATATATATGTATATGTATACAGCCCTAAACCGCATATATATATATATATGCAGGGATTAACTGGTGTTTACAGTGTTGCTCCTGCAGAGGCTAGGCTATCAGAACCTAAGATATTAGCTTGCCTTTAAGGTTTTAATAGCTCATCTTGGAACAGGCTGGGCCTGTGTGCTTGCTTTACTGAGCTGCCTCCATGCCCTGCTTGAATTGAGCATCCGGAGACCCGTACCTGGCCTATTGCCCGCTTTGCGGGGGTTTAGGGGTTAGAGGTTCCGGGGTTTAGGGGGTAGAGGTGTAGGGTTTAGAAGTTTAGGGCTTAAGGGCTTAGGGCTTAGGGTGCAACAATTGAATAATACGTATAATACGTACACAGCCCGCAATACTTATCTTATTATAGCCTGTTGCTTGGTGGAGGCAGTACCCAAACTTGAACCCCCTTTTCAAGTACATAGGCTGCTCGTTGTTGCATGACCCCCTCAATCTTTTGAGCCCTAAACCCTAAAATGTCAATCTTTTGAAGCCCTTCCCGCTAATGGCTCCCTCACTCCGAGACATGCATAGGTAACACAGGGGATAAGCAGGAAACCTGGTCAAGAAACTGTTGGGTTTAGGGTTAAGCGGGGAATATGGGACTATATTAGATGGGGACTGTGTAGGGATTATATCCCCTTATTTCCTTAGAGGAATGAGGCTATGTGGCTCAAAGCTTTCCTGGTCTGCAGTAGTGGGGAGTTAGGCATCGGATTCCATGAGCTATTAAAAATGGGAATACTCTGACGATGGTTAGAGAGTATGCAATTTAATTAATACTAGTTTAGATTTTGGCGCTTCTAATTTCTGTTCTGCGGATTGAGTGAGTAGCGCGGCAAATCTATTCCCTCCTTCCGTTGGAGTGTCCTCTGCCGAAAAACTCTGAACCAGACCCTGGACTTAGACCCTAAACTTACTGGGGCTACTTGAGGGTCAAGGGGATTTCGAAAGTGGGTTAATAAGGGGGAGACATGGGGTTACTATATGGGATTTAGGGGTTATAAGTATACCTACTAAGTCTTCCTGACCCTCAAGTAGCAGGGAAGAAGGGAATATAATCCACATACAATCCCTATATAACATATCCCCATATTCCGTTTTAACCCTAAACACTAAACCCTAGATAATGCATTCCCTAATTCCCCACGAACCCTACACCCTAAATAGTATATTCCCTTATTCACCAAAAACCCTCAGTAGGTAAACTCTATCCCAATCTCACGGCTATTCCCTGCATCCTGAACCCTTGTCCGTTCTGGTTTAGGGTTTGTTTAGGGCTTAGGATTTAGCGTTTAGGGTTTAGGATTTAAGGGTTTAGGGTTTGCGGCACCAAAAAACATCAGAAGCTCTTGCATTCCTTGCACAACTGCATGAAACCTATGCCTCCGCATATATGGTTTTCGGGGTGATATCACTAAACCCGACATAACCCTATCTATCGCTCATATGACCTCTTATGTAAACCCAATCCCAGAAACTCCCTGTACAACCATTATATGACCCCAACCCAATGTTTGTACAATCCCATGAGAATCCCTATGTTCAGGCCTTGAGCTGGAGTTTAGGGTTTAGAGTTTCGGAGTTTAGGGTTGGTAGGGTTTAGAACACCTTGTACGCCTGGGCAAACCTAACACATCAGGAGCGAAGCGCGATGATTTCAGCAATAACGCCTTGAAGCGGCCATGTTCCCCCAAGCATGGCAAATCACATGGAAAAGAGCATGGGAATTGCAGGGAAACTGAGATTATGTAGTGGTTTACTGCGCCAGGGTGTTCGTTCAAAAAAACAAAATGCATATTCTGAGACTAAGATGAATGAGGATTCAAGCATATTGCGTGACTGGTCTGATTTTGTGAGATGTCACGGTATGAGCTGACATACTTGGACTCTGTTGTTTTGCTTCGACCTGCGAATCCAGGCTCATACAAGAAAACGAAGAGCTCGTTGACTGCGACCAGTGCCAAAGAGCAGCAAGTTCAGCCCCTTGGCCGGAAACGATTGTACCCCACTTGTGAAAGTATGGGAATTGGGGTTGAGGGCCCATCTTGCTGATGATAGACAGACTTATCTACAGAGACATTTCTGAAGCTTATGTTTTCTGATTCCAGTACTTAATACACTTTAAGCATGAAATCTTAAGTTCTAATCAGTAGATCGGCTCTTTGCTTCGCAATCCGTATCGCATGCTTCAACTGGGGGAAAGTAGCCTTTTCCCCTCTAGCATGGATCCCCCCCAAAAAACCCCAATCCTGCAAAGACAACGGCCGTTGTAGGTTTGGGCCACTTGTGGTCCACAGGGGAGGGCAAGTCAACCTGCAACCGCAATTACCTGCAGTTTGATAGTAAGTAGGTGTAACCCACCATCCTGCATGTAATTGGGATTACAGGTAGACCCTATAGTCCCAAGCGCCTAAACTCTAAACCCTCCACCTCATTCTTCGTAAGCTGCAAGGCAATTTGAGGTTACAGCTTGTTTGCCCTCACGATCCCTAGCTTCCTCTTCATTGTCCACCATTTCTTAACTTGTAGTATCTTGGGACTACAGTTCGGCCCTATCATGTCTAAGTCCCCCCATCCCCAAATCCTAAATTCCACGAATCAGGGGGTAACTACTACGTGACCTAAACCGTAAACCCTAAACCTTAAGCCCTAAACCCTAAACCCTGCAGGTAGGACCCCAAAGCTTGAGCCTGGCAAGGTAATGGACGCGAATCTTCTCCTCTTCAAGAGCCTTGCCTTCAGAATTCCCATTGCTTCCCAGGGTTTAGGGTTTAGGGTTTAGGGCTTAGGGTTTAAAGTTAAGGTTTAGGGTTAACCCCTCCTGAATGTTTGAGATTCCCAATATATGATAGTATATCACCATATGGGAATATTTAGCAAGAGCGTGCTGGGGGCTTCGCATTCAACATTCCCTCGCAGAAATGAAGGGATGGGATACTTGAGGGTCACGGCGACTTCGTAAGCATACTTACAAAACGCTTAGTTGCCATTTGAAAGCCCAAGCTATCCCCAATATCAACCCCTCTGACCCCTCCAAGAACGGGAGCTCTACACCCTAATCCTCACATAGTTCAGGAAAAAAGGTTCCCCTTAAGTAGATTTTGGCTCTGGGTATATTATGATAAGATTCCCATATACCCCAAATTCTATCTACTTAAGGGGGACTATATGGCTTAGGGTTTAGGCCACAACTTTTGTGGAGGCCTTCTCCCTTCACTGGCTGGTTGCAAGGGGTAAGCAGACTCTGAAAGAAAACGAGCAAGTCGGGCCCCTTGCAGCCCTTCCCTCTAAAAGCGCCCTATGATCGGGTTTGGGGGTTTAGGGTTTAAGGGATTTCTGGAAAACTTATTTTTGGGTTAGCTATACTACAACTACAAGTTGGCAAGGGGAGTAAGGGTTTAGGGTTTAGGGTTTAGGGTTAGGTTTCTGAAGCTTCGAGTTAGAGCGCGACTTGCTCTGACACGACCTTTCCTTCTCGCATTCCCTGGTTCCGAGCGTTCTGTCACATATGTAGGCATTAATTGTTGGAACCATAAATGGTAGTTTCCCAAAATAGGGGTACTCCAATATAGATCCCAATATATTATAATCCTTATTATGGGGACCCCCAAAATGGTACCCCAAATTATGGGAAACCCCCAAATTAATCCACCGTTTATCCGAACTTCTTAATGCCGCTGCTTTGCTGTCTGTCTTTTGGGCGAGCACTTCTAAGCTAGCACTGCCTCGTCCCGGGTGCAGCAGCACAATCCTTTGCAGTCCCTCATATTCCTGAATCCTTATGCCAGCTCCTACAGACTTGGAGTGTGCGGTTTTCCATTCATATCAGCCTTGCCCTAGGCCTGAAATTAGGTTGTCCTTAAGGGGGGGTGGTCCAAGGAGTAATCCCCATTATTCCCTTATACTCCCTTAGCTTCCCTAAGGTTCCCCAAGGCTCCCTTGTACCCTCCGCCCTTGAATCGCCCCCCCCCTTTAGGACCCTGCAATGAAAGCCTAAACCCTAAACCCTAAAGCCCCAAAGTTTCCGACCAAAGGACGGTGATAGCTGGTGACAGCTGGGGTCTGATCGCAGTCCCACTCATTGAGGCCTGGCAACTTGTGGCTGCTGGTTGGTGGAGGAGAATCCTAAGCCCTGAATGGGTTGTTTAGGGGTCATATAGGGGTTATATGGGGATAATGGAAAAGAGAATGGAATGAAAACTACTATTCAGGGTTTGGGGTTTAGGGGTTATAGTCCCCCTTAAGTAGATAGAATATGGTTTTGGGAATATTATAATAAGATCCCCATATACCCCATATTCGCCAGTTTTTATCTACTTAAGCGGACTATAACCCTAGACCTTGATGTTTGCTGCTTTAACCACAAGTGAACTCCCCAAGCAGACAACATCCTTGAACCTTGAAGCCCTGGAACGCTACATCACGCCCCATATTAACAAAAAACAAAACTATTTAGGGTTTAGGGTTTAGGGTGTCTAGTATTGTAGATATATGTCTTAACATACGAAAAGTAGCTGCCTTAAACAGGGGTATGGGGGTATAGAGTTCTGGGCAATCCCTACAAAGCCATACTGACATTTCATATAGGGCCCCGAAAGCTACCCCAGCAAGGAATCTCCCAAACCTTTCTAGGGCCTCTCTGCTAGGCCCATCCAGCCACTGCAATCATCTTCGTGGGATCCCTGCTCACTCTCGAATTTGGTGCTGGGGCCTCGGCGCATGCATCGATTCGGGCTTTAGGGCTGATCTGTCCTAAGCCATATGTACTATACTTTAAACTCCCTGGAGAGAAACTATACGGCCTATTAAGGTGGATACTATGAGTTTAGACTCTAGCTCAAAAGGAGCTTTTCAGGGCAGAGTTCTCTTGGCAATTGGGAGTGACCTTGCCAGAAGATGTCTTGAACTAACCTTTTGTGAACGTTCTGTTTGTTCCATGCAACCTCTGTAAACTTTTTTACAAAATATATGTAAGGCGTCTATGAACACAAACCTCAATCAACCCTCCTGAATCCTTCCAGAAAACCTCTTCAACTTGTTATCCGTATATAACACCCACGAACCTCCGGAAACCCTCTGCGGACCTTTTAAAAACCCACTGTTACAAACCCTGTATAAAGCCGAAGTTAAGCTGCAAGATCCAGGGTGCAGGACCACCAGGGGGGTGGCAATAGCTTAAGCATACTTTATTTTCATAAAGATGGTGGGGAGCGCGGGTGGCGCCCGGGAATGCTGACCTGTATATGGGGGTTGCCCAAAATTAAGGGTACCTTCTTGGGGGTCCCCATAGTAAGGACTGTAGTATTTTGGGGTCTATATTGGGGTCCCCCTATTTAGGGGAACTACTATATGTGCCAGCATTCACACGCAGCCCACCCACCTGGATGGTCGTTGTTCTAGATGTGGTCCTGTGGAAGAGCAGGGGAGATTTTCAGGTTGATTTCACTTGCATTTGCGAACCATGATTTGTTACGGGGTTTGAGGCCGGAGAATGTTAATACGATCACGCCTTTATAGATTAAAATGCAGCCAGACCGGCCACTATGTGTGCATAGGGTATATCAAGCAAACCATAGGTTCGCATTTAAAATCAAAGTATAGATCCTAAGTCTGAGGATTTTCTCTGGCCGGGGGAATTTGATTATTATCATCCTCTTTCTAAACGACGCAGACATTCATCCTCGTAACCAGCTGACATGAAAATTTCCACCAGGGGTTTAGGGAACTAAGGGTAGGGAACTAAGGGGGATGAACTTCTACTTCATGATCTAGATCGACTTCTAGAATCCCGACAAGACTCCCAATCTGGGGCTCGACAAGTTCGTGGGTGGAGTTGGCCGAGAAGGAGTTGATGATTCAGTCAAGGAATGACATTCATCTACTAGACAGGAAAAGATTCCGGAAGAGTTAGATCAGTTGCATTGCAACATCAAGTGTCTGACTTCTATCTTTTCTGCCCTCAGAAGGTGGGAAAGACCTTGAAAACCGCAGAAGGTGCCACCCCTGAACCCTCATTAGGCAGGTCAGCTTGCCGTTGGATGGAGTTGTTAGCTCTCAAGGTACAAACTACAGAGCATGTCCCCTTCACAGTTGTTGGATCCGCAGGTCATCTGCGAAAGATTCTTTTATCTTGCTTTGTAGACAAAAGCTTAGGCAACAGCCATTCTTGATTCGCATGGTATGAATTACAGGGACTTACTTGTTGACCCCAATCTACTCGGCGCCGATGTTTTTTGCCCCGTGCGGCTCATATTGCTTCAGGCCCACAATCCTGTTCCCCTAGTAGGAAGCTCCCTTGCCCTGATCATGAATACTTCCCCCATGATGAAATGGTGTATTGCGAAACTCATCATTAGAGGAGTGGGGGGGGGGTTATGATTAGAGAGGGTAGGGATAAGAAGCCGAGCTTAGTTTTGTTTATGCATGTGCTCAACCCGAAACACCACTTCACCTGGACGCCTTATGTGAACCCGCTTCTTGAGGAATCCTTTCCTTAAAATGCTTTGAAAGAAGAATTGTACAGAACCCAAGCCTCCGAGGCAATCTGAAGGTTACTCTGTATATATGGCCTATAGTAACCCACTTCCCGCTGCCTTTCCATTTGCTAGTCCGTTCTTGGAAGCATCAACTCCCCTCCCCTAACAAAACTTCACCCTTCCTGAGAAGACATATTCTCCCTAACATCTTTCTGTACTGTATGTGGGCGGGGTTATGATTACGGGGGTGGAGGGTTTATTGCTGTGGAAGTGACTCAGTTCTTGAACTCCAATCTATGCCCTTCCGGCTTACAGCCTGGGATCTCACCCACAGGATATCCCTTAGACCTGAAACCGTTAGGGTTTGGGGCGGTTAACGGCTACTATTAGGGCTCAGAGTTCCCCGGTGGGACTTCTGCACAGCGGCCAGGTGCTGAATTTGATTGTCGCCGCAGCTTGGCATGCTAGAAGCTAGCTGTTGAAGGAAAACATTCAAGGTCAATCCCTTCATGCGACTCCCTGAGCCCTAAACCCTAACTCTAAACCCCAATAACAATAATTATTCCCAAGAAGAGGCTTTCTATACTGGGAGATATGTTTAATATTCGGCGTGGTATGAAGGAAGGATTTGGTTAGTTCCCAAAACTGGAGGCCCATAACTTGGAGAACAGCCCATTTGGGTTTGAAGAGTATGGGGGATGAAGGTTGCCGGCTGCGCTTTGGAGGTGTGTCTGGGGGCTTGGCCCAAACCCTAAACTTCAAACTCTCTCCCTTATAAGGGGCCCCCAAGCCAAACAGTTGTGTTTGGAATTTCGGGAATACTAACTCTCGGTGGAGGTTTGGGGCAAGTATTGGGAACTTAGATTCTTGAAGTAGGGGGTGCCAGTTTATACGCCGTATACACCCTGCAAACTACAGTGTTTTTGGTGAGCCTAAGTGCTGCAAGATTTCTTCCACCGTGTGTCCTCCTGCTTCGCTCCGATAGTCGGGCTAAGTACAGCAGCTTTTGTCTTGTTGGTCCATGAGAAGTTGGGGGAGTTGGATCCCAACCCAAATATGTGTACAATCCCTTAGAAGTAATGGTGCTGGTACCTTTTTCACTGCCGCGTTCCCATTTCATTAAGCACCTGTGATTTTGTGCAGTCGGGTCTTGGGGTCCTACATATGTGTAACTGACAGCTCGGCTTTTGTCAAACGCGGCACGCTTTGTGGTACTCAAGGTGGTTCTGCAACCCACCTAGTCTTATCATGGTAGAAGAAGATATGATGAGACCTTGATGATTTGACAATGCACTGTTGGGGACACTACTCGTGGGGGGGAGGAATGATCACCCAAAACATGCTGATGTAACGGGCACGTTGGGCTGGACACATTATTTCCAAAAACCCTGTCCCTGCATAGCATCATAGAATCATGGAGTGCCCAGCGCTAACAATTGCTCGTAGAGAGCAGGGGTAACGCTAAATTCGCTGCAATTGTTCTACCCCTAATTCCCAAGCCCTAAATCCTAGCCCTAAGCCCTGAATCCTAACCCTCAGCCCTAAATCCTAAACCTGGAAGGTTTAGCAAGTGACAAATCCTTGACACAAACTAGTTGAGGTCGTTGTCGACACCTTCGCTGAACTTCGTGAGCGTGATGTGATGAACCGTGCCGAGGTCTTTCGCCCGCGTGTGCTCACACACCCAAGCTGATTGCAGCTAGATCCCAGCAGCTTGAAGGGTTTAGGGTTTAGGGTTGGGTACTTGGAGGTTCAGGGCGACTTAAGTAGTAAATTAGTAAGTATACTTCTAACCATAACCCACATACCACCCGCAATTATCCCCATTATTGCCCTAGTTACTAAGTCCCCCTGACCCTCCAAGTACGACCTGGGAGTCGGAGTCACTGACAGATAAGCTCTTCAGCGGGAAGCCAAAGCTCCCCAAGGGTTTCCCAAAATTAGGGGTATACAGGGATTATATGGGGTATATATGGGGGTTATATAGGGATTATATAGGGGTTGTATTGGGATAATGGAAAAGAAAATGGGAACTACTATTTAGGGTCTAGGGTTTCCCAAAATTGGGGTGTACCATTTTGGGGATCCCTATAATAAGGACTATAGTATATTGGGGTCTATATTGGGGTTCCCTAATTTTGGGAAACTACCATTTAAGTTACCATTATAAGGAGACCCCATCAGCCCTATCACTTCCTATATACGCATAAAATGGTAGCTGAATTTAAGCTCCTTAGCAGCAAGCCAGAATCACAGCTGTGTACAGCTGCTTCTCAACAATCCCAACGTATATCCGAGAACCCCCATGATCTCCTCGTACTCCCTCTGCACCTCTACGGGTTCCCAGGGTACCCCATTTTGGGAAACCGTAATATGCCAAGCCACGGCTGTGTGCCTCAGAGTCGCGTACGGGACCCTGTACTGAGTATACACCCCTAAGCCCCAGTCACTGTCCTGTCAGGAGATGGAGGCAGAAATCGAAGAAGACAAGCGGTTTCTTCAGAAGCTCGCCCAAAGAGAAGGATTCTTCGGATTTGGGGGCTGACAGGATAATACAGGTGGCATGCTGTTGGAGCTGTTGCACAAAAAGGAGTGCAAGACGAGGAGATTTTTCTACCTCGAGGTTCATGAGCTCCATGTAAGAGGAACTTCCAGAGCCCTGAAGTTTTGGGCTTTGCTAATACTTTGGGAGGTATTAGTAAGTTAGGCTTTGGGCTTGGGGTTCAGTTGAGGGTGTGTTAAGGGCGACCTAGATCCTAAACCTGAAATTCTGAATCCTGCACCCTCAACCCTAAATCTTACAAGAGACTTGCTAAGGTCCCCAGATTATCTCAGTTTGAAAATTGCCCAAAACTGGATGTTCTCAAAACTGCACCAAGGGTAACCAAAAACACCATCACCTGAACCCTCGGCAAGTTAGAATGATCTCATGTGATCCCCCCAAGCCGTGGCTTTTACACAACTTATTCGGGGAGTTAGTAAGGAATAAGGGAAGACGTTATAAAAGGGGTTATATGAGCTATGGTTGAAACTCCTTGAGGGTTATATCGGGGATTGTATATAGCTCATATAGGAATTATATTCCCTCATTCCCTAAAAAGCACCAGCAAGGAATTTCCCAAGAAGCTTTCAGGGTTCAAAGCATCAAGAATTGAATTCCCTCATACGTATCTACCACATGTGTGTATATAGTCCCCCTTAAGTAGATCAAACATGGAGGATAGGGGGATCTTATTATAGTATACCCAAAGCCATATTGTATGCACTTAAAGGGGACTATATGTTTATATGTGTATATACATATATATATATATCTGTGTGTGTGCGCACCTCTATCCACTGGTCTCTGCTCAATGGGGCTTCTGGGGTTTTGTACAATATGTAATAGGTAAATAAAGACACCAGGACGAAGGGCTCATACTATTGTCAACATTAAAGATCTTGCATGACGTCAGTGTGCCATAGTACCATGATTCCCAAGGTATAAGGTACTTGGGGTCATGCAGGATCTTTGGTATCCACACAGGAAAAATCGCTGAAGCTTGTTTGCTTAAAGGTCGGTGGACTACCTGGAGGTTTGTGTAGATGTCCCTTTTGGGGCCCACTATAATGAGGATTGTATTACTTCAGGGTCGATATTGGGGGCCCCCTATTGATGCAGTCCACCTAGGAGAGTTCACAGTTCAACGCCTTAGGGCTTACAGGGTTTACAGGGATGGTTGTGAGCGTGCAAATTCCCGCTTGCTCATGGGAATTGCGCTAGGAGATATAGTCCCCCTTAAGTAGATAGAACATGGGGTATATGGGAACCTTATTATAATATACCCAAAACAATATTCTATCTACTTAAGGGGGCCTATATACTAACAGAGGTCTTTTTGGAGAGAACTCTCGTAGGGAATCATCTTGCCGGCCGAGCAGCCGAGCAGTTGCAAATAAAGATAGTCGTCAAGGAGTTGCCCCCTGAATCACTGTCACTGTGCTTAGACACAGGGTGAAGCAGGGCTTAGGGCTTGGGGTTCCGTTTTTAGTGTGCCTGACCTTTTGTTTCAATCTCGTCAAGAAAAGCCTCGGCCTTTCTGGAAAGTTGAAGTTCTTAAGATCATCCCTCTTGAATCTCCTAATGGGGCCCTCTCAATCCCGCTCGGACCCAAAGCAGGAATTATGTGCCACCCCAATTACCTGCAGCTTTGTGGGTTCTATCTGCCAATCATGGGGGTGATTACTAAGAAGCTGTAGGCAATTGGGGTTGCAGATTTGAGTGGGGGCAGAGCCCAGGATAAAGATCGGCTCAAGTTGATATTTGAAACCAGATTCCTTCTGTGGACTGGGGCATTAGATGGAGGGCTTATTGGACTCCAGCTTTCCCTGCACGCGGCACAGCCAAGCGGGAGGGAAAAACTTATTTCAAAACCTTCTTCCAATTGTTCGGGTTTGGAGGGTGCTCCCAGGGCTCTCATCTCAGGGCATGTGTAGAAGCAAGACATTCTTGGCGCACGGGGATTTGTGATTTGTGGCACGGATTCTGAACATGGCGGAGGGGACCTTCAGTGCCGGTTTCGGGCTTATAATAGGGATTATAGTCCCCCTCAAGTAGATAGAATATGCCTCTGTGGATATTAGAATAAGATCCCCATATACCCCATATTCTATCTACTTAAGGCGGACTATAGGGTTTCGGGAGTAGGGAATAGGGTGAATTCTGAAACAACCTATCTCGAGCTCAGGAGAATATTCGATCGAGCGGACGAGGATGGAAGCAATTTGGCGAGAAGAGCTGCAGTGGATTTGAAACCCTAAGCCCTAAACCCTAAACCCTAAACCCTAAATCCTAAACCCTAAACCCTAAACCCTAACAAGTAGAAGTCCTCTTTGCAGGAGATGATGGTTATACAGCTTTTGGGGCTATGTTGAGGGACCCCGGTGACCCCAGTTTCGACATTTAGCCCCTTTGGGGACCTTTTTGGTGGGTCTGTTGGGGCCAATTTTGGCCGGTTGCGCAGAACTTTGTAACGCCACCGAGATTCATGTTCTCGTGTGGACATGAGCGCGAGACACAAGTTGGGGATCGGCAAAAGTCCCCACTCATTAACAGCTGGATAATATCTATACTATAGTTATATATAGCCCTTCTTATGAACCCCTATTGTAGACTGTGAAGGGGTGGGGGCAGGACCTGAGCTACACAGGCCATGGCCCATGTAATTTATTCCAAAAGGCAGATTCCCTTCTCTTCCGCAACCGATTATTCCCCCAATGCAGGACTTTGCAGGTAGCCCCTTGCCATGCTTTCGGATTGATTGCAGCTGAAACCCCTGGACGCCAAGTTCTCCAAGGACCCAGCGCTTCAACCTTGAAATCCAAGTGCTCTAGCCGTTGACCCAAGACTAAAACCCAACATCTGCCAACATGGCCTCTATACCAAGACCCCAGCTGGTGCAGTCCTGGGTTTAGGGTTTAGGGTTCCAGCCCTTATACCCAACTCTCCACCCAAAAAGCTTAAAGCTCCAATGCGCAACCCTACAGCTTTAACCTTAGACTTTGCATCCTAAACCTTACAACCTAGATCCTGAACCCAAATTAACTCAATAGCCTAAACCCCACATATGCCCTGAAACATGAACCCTACGTATAAACCTAAACCAGAAATCCTGCACTAGCAGCACATCCCAGACCATGGGGATCCAGAAATTAGATCCCCTACATAGACCCAACATAACCCTAGATAATCCCTATATAATTTCCCATGTGCTTCTAGGAGATCCTTTTTTAGATCACCGATCCCTTGGGGGATTGGGTTTGGTCCAGGTGGTGAGCTCACCTTTGAAGAGTTACTTGAAGGAGCTCGAAATGAGACTTGCTTCAGCTCATGGTGAAGGGGTATAGGGTTTATGGATTTGGGATTTAGGGTACCAGAAATTTGGGGTTCAAGGAAGTTAGAGCTTGGTACGGAATAACTGGGGTTAGCTTAAGCTATTGGGGTGGCCTGAACGAGCCCTAAAGAGCTTTAACATAATTTGGCAGGGTTCCAGGGCAATTTCAGATGTGGGTCACTTAATTGGGACACCTGGGGTTTGGGGCTTCAGGGGCTTAGGTATAGAGTCGAGGGTCAAGGGTATGGATATCAGGGGTTAGAATCACTAGACCACCCCAACCCTACAAATAGGGCTTGGCATTTAATGCTCAAGGTTTCTTCCCAGCAAGCAGCCGTTCCTGCTGAGGAAAGGGTTCGCAAATTCCAGAGGTTATCCTGTTCTGAAGTTACCTTGAGCGCAACTCGAGAACTAGAGTAGCGCCTTAAATAATCCCTAAATGGCCCAAATGCGTATTGTCAGTGCCATTCATTTCCTTTGAATTAACAACTCCACGTATCCAACTCTAAACCCTACACCATATCTCCCTGTGTTTTCGTCAGCTCAGCAGACCCCCGCAATGGATAGACTGTTTCGGAAAATCAGGGGTCCCTTTTCGGGGCGTTTTCAAAAATAGGGGTCCCTTAAAACCGCAGTACATGGAGGGTTAGGCAGGGTTATGGTGGGCTTTTGGGGGGCTATGGAGGGACATATTAGGGCTGAGGGCTTCCAACAATTCGGCGTTCTTTTGGGGGAGTCTTTCTAATCATATAGCTGTAGTATCTTGGGGTCTATCTAGGAGCCCCCTATTTATGGACCCCCATCCCTCCTCGTATGGCTTCCGGATCTGGAACGGCTAGACCCGAATTAGTCCCAACACAGTTAGATGAGGTTGAAAGTCGGAATCTCAGTCTTGCGGGATTGTTTAGGGTTTAGGGATTAGGGTTAGGTCCTGCCTGACCCTAAGCACCTTATACCTTGGGACTTATGATATCATGTTCTACTGAGGCCATGCAGGGTTCATAAAGTATCAGCAGTAGAGATCCAGTGTGAAGCATGCGTGTGGGAGTTTTTTTGAAGCTCTGCAATGAACCCGACGTACTTGCGCATGTGATTGGCAAAGTTCTGTCTACAAGCTAACGGATGCTGCAACCTAAGACTCGAAGCCATAAACCAGGCCCTACAGTTTTCACAGTAGCTTCCATGACCTCCTCTAGGTATTAGCAGCGGTCACAGCTCTTTGTCACGCGTTCTATCCACCCGATTTAGAGTTTAGGATTAAGGGTCTGTGAGGCCCTCTTACATGGCAGCCCCAAGAGGGAAAGACCTGAAAGTTTCCCAATAATTCGCCCCTACAAGACTGTAGCCTTCATATACATGTATGTATATACATACATGGTCTACACTTCACTCTTCCCCACTGCCTGGGGTCAATTAGTTTGGAGAAGTCGGCTTTGCGGCGAAAACTCAGGTTAAGTTGATTGCAATTCCAGCAAGTTTTGCATCATGTACCTACTTGCCCCCTAAGCTCTAAGCCCTCAATGATTGTCATTCTTGTGGTAAAAGGTTGGCAGGAGTGCCAGGGAGAGCAATAAGTTAGGAGCACCCCCCACCCTGTAATAGTGGTATATTAGGAATATAAGAGGACCCTAATATAATCCTTATCATCCCTTATAGTCACTATTACAGGGTGGGGGGTCCACCTAAGCAATAGGCCACAAGCTTCTAATGCGAGTTTTTACAAGCCCTCCCTCTGGGAAGCGCACGTCTCATACACGGGCCATGGGTTTAGGGTTTAGGGTAGCGATGTAGGGGGCATTAAGTGTTTAAGGTCAGGGGTTTGGCATTACAAGAGGCTCGGACGGTTTTGCCATCACATGGAAGCTCGGGATTCTAAACCCATCTATGAAATCGTTGCGCGGGAGCGTGTAATCCTCTTGTACGTGATCTGTATGACGCATCCCTGCCGGGCAGTTGTATACCCAAATCTTACTTCTGCTAGTACTCTTGCTGCTGCTGTTTTCGTTACAATTAGGATAAGCATACTTATAATTGTTGCCAGTACTGCCCTAGATTTCTACTAGAAAGCCCATATTTTGGGGAAGCCCCATGTTCTTTTCAGTCAACGCACGGTGGGGAGCCTTTTGAGGTTTGCGAATTCGTATTCACAAGTTTCTCGCCCTCGGGCTGAGACACACAAAGGCCCTACAGCTCTCCCGGCGATTATGAGGTATATAGCCCCCCTTAAGAAGATAGAATATACCTTTGGGTATATTCTAATTACGAAGATCCCCATATACCCCAAGATTCTATCTACTTAAGGGGGACTATAACCCCAATATACCCTTACAATATAGTCGTTTCCATTTTCTTTGCCATTATCCCTATATATAACCCACCCCAATATGGGTGGTTGTCAAAATTATGGTCCCTTCTGGGGTCCCTATCAATGATAATACGGCACCTAATATTTCGGGTACCCAAAAAGGGACAATAATTTGGACAACCACCCATATCTAGCCAAGGGGGACTACACGTGGGATCCCACAGTCTGAGGCCATTTTCTACTTGCGAGTTTGTCCAGCCTATGAGTTCGGAAATATGCGATTCCATATGAGCTCTAGTCTAAACTCCTCAAAGGGGCTTTTTATAGGGGATTATATAGGTGACGACTATATGGGTTATTAAGGGGGATACTAGGAGTTTAGACTATAGCTCATGGGTGCAGGCCCGCCTGGTCACGACAGATACCTGCACCTTTATGTTCTCGTTACCATTCAGTACTCCTGATTTTGCCCTTCGACGGGACATTACTTGTTTCATGCCAGACGCAGAGATGATCTCCAGGATTCCTGCCCTTGGGGGGAGGGAGGGCGTCTTCCCATCTGCTACTGATGGGCTAGACGGCAAACTGTCTTCCAAGTCGCCCTATCAAACGATACACTGCGCCCAATGGTTGTCGAACTTAGCTTCAACTGTGGGAGAGTCTTGAGGGAATTCTCCAGTATGACCCTAAGATTACCCATAATACTATAGTAGTTTCCATTTTCTTTTCCGTTATCTCTATAAAATCCCAATATAACCAGTTTTACTATAGTAGCTTCCTTTTCCTTTTCCATTATGCCTATATAACCCCAATCTTACCCATTATACTATAGTAGTTTCCATTTTCTTTTCCATTATCCCTATATAACCCATTATACTATGGTAGTTTCCATTTTATTTTCATTTTCCCCATGTAACCTGATAACCCATTATGCGAGGGTAAGTAGAAAGATTGGCAAGCCCAGCAGGGTTTCAGTTGTAGGGCTGCTACCTCGCAGGCCCTACGTCGAACTCGACCTATACTGTAAACCGTTATGACTATTAGGGTATAGGGGTTAGGCTTTAGGGTTCAAATCTTACACGACCTTAGTAACGTGTATGCTAGAATCCATACTTCCCCAGTCATACGGTACTTAGAATTACGCAGGATGTTTAGTATCCACCCTGGTTCCTCACGTGTTGCCCAAGGATCCGGAGTTTCAAAGCCGACTGCGGGTCATGGACATTGATGAGGTGCGGATGCTATGTAGGGAGAAACCAATTCGCAACCAGGGAATATCCTGCAGTTTTTGATGAGTACTTTTTTGATGAGTACTATTGTAAACATAACCCCAAGATAACCCATTATACTATGGTAGTTTCCATTTTCTTTTCCATTATCCCTATATAGCCCCAAGATAACCCATTATCCTATAGGAGTTTCCATTGTGTTTCCTAACATGCCAACATGGTGTGGATAGATCCTTGAGCAGGCTGCATTTATGGTCACCTTGACTTCTTGCGGTTGGTATTACAAATTCCGAGTGACCCTAAGTACCTTATGACTTGAAAACTGTGTTGTTCTGGCATAATTACTCCTGACATGCATTTGTTCGATATCAACAGTGTGTCATCTGTAGATATCTTCACTACAGTTCCGGTCCCACACATGGCATAGATGAAGCCGAAGTGCTTGGAAACAGATTGGGGCTTCAGAGCTGAGTTCACTATAAATTGGGTACTGCCCCCCCCTCAGTAACAGTTGGATGATAATTATAATATGGGTATATGTAGCCCTTTCTAGGACCCCTAATATAGACTGCTACTGGGTGGGGGCAGTACCCAAACTATAAACTTGAATTACATTTCACCCCCGGCATGGAAGCACACAAAGAGCCCTGTCTGTTCAAAGGGGGCTATATCAGCTTCCATGTTTGTTTGGGGGAGGGTACTATAGGATCTATAGGGTTTTGGGGTTTTAAGGGTTCATAGTAGTTGCCATTTTCTTTTCCATTATCCCCATACATAGATGCAGGATTTCCGAGCGCTCCAGAGAAGGCGCTGCTAAGCAAAGCGCAACCTTTTAGAGCTTAGGGGATGTTCCTGGAGGGGCAGGGCGACCAGGGAAGCACAATTCTGACCCCGGTAAACGATAAACTAACCCCATGACCCCCACTATTACCCAATTTCTAAGTTGCCCGGGCCGACCGGACCCTGCAAGGTTAGCGTGCATCTAAGAAGGCGCCATGTTTATGATCATGATTTCTTTAAGCGAAGTCCTTTGCAGTGTTCTTATAGATTGCTCCGTGAGTTCTCAATATGCAGCCTGAAGCTTCTGAGATGAAGCTTGGGTACTGGCCCCCCCACTCATGAACAGTTGGACAATATTCGTAACAGACTTTTATATAGTCCTTAGTATGATCCCTATTATAGACTGTTACTGGGTGGGCAGGGCCCTAGGTAAAGCAAGTACTTCTGTAGCTCCACCTGCGCACCTTCGGCTGCATCGCGGTGATCTGGCACCAAACATCATCTAGTACTGCAAGAGACAGGCTGATGAAAGAATTAGAGCCTCTACATGGAGTAGCGTGTGACCCCAAGTGCCCACTTGCCCTGAACCTTACATGCCGACGGCGCCAACTAAATGTTCTCTTGTTCGCTTCTGTCATCCATTGTAGCGATCCTCTCGGAGGTCATGTCCGGATTTGGGTTTTAGAGCTTTGGGCCTAGGGGCTGAAATTCCTCAAAACAAGGATCGGCCCCAACAGCGGCTCCACAAAGACTGCGAACCTGTTGAAAGGGACCTTCCATGACATATTGAATCAGGGTACTGCTTGAAGAGTTGCACTTTGGCTACTCAGGTGATGTTCCCGGCACATGCCAAGTCGACATTGTGTAATGGAGCCCAACCCTAAAGCCCAAAAACCTTGAATCCTGAGTCCTACGCGTCCTACGCCAACCTGAGACCTAAGACCTACACTCTAAAACCTGAACCATTCTAGCTATCCCCTGAAACCTGCCCTTGCCCCACCCACTGCAAAAAGTTCCCAATTTCTGAACCCAAACACCCATTCTCAGACTAAACTCTGTATGTGCACACTATTTCGCAGTTCTTCGACAGTGCCTAAAGACAGAAACGACCGTGGAAATCGCGTCCTTGAAGGCTGACTTACATCAGCTTTTCAGCATGATCGATGTCGATGGCCCCTCGAGACGCAATTGACGTGATCGTTTCATTGGGCTTTAGAGTTGAAGGCGTTAGGGTTCAGGATTAAGGGAACTTGTGTGAAAGATTTCCTTCAGAGTGTCATCCCGTATCTGCGGTCAGCCTGTATGGCCCTCATTGTCTGCGGCTTGCGCAATCTGGTCGCATGGAATGTCGAACCTCAGAACAGTTGACGTTTGTACAATTTGTAGCACTATCCTCTCGTGATCCCGACGTATACAAAACCACATCTAAATCCTTTAGGCAACTGAATACAGCTTGCGACTTAAATAGTCCGGGGCACAACCATTCCTAGCACTTGGGTGATTCGCCTGACAGTATCCATTGCCACAAGAAGTAACCGGAGTCACGCTAGTCCCTAAGAAAGGCGCCTTCAAACACAGTTACTCTGTGAAGGGGACGGGGCAGAGCCCTAACTACCCATCACTAGAATAGAAGGGCTCTCTTGCAGAAGGCAGGTCACTGCTTGGCAGCGGACGAAGCAGGGTATGTTGCTCGAAAATTGAAAGCGGTGGAAGGCTCTGCTGCAGCTGAACTGCAAGTTCCTCAGGCAGAGAAGAAGTAATTTCTAGCCTGTGCGTTTATAGTCCCCCTTAAACAGATAGAATATGGGATACATGGGGATCTTATTATAATATACCCAAAACCATATTCTATCTACTTGAGGGAGACTATAACGCTAAGAGCCTGGAGTGTAGCACGCAGGGTCCAAGCCCTGCAACCCAACGATTCTCAGCTTAGTCAGGGCGGCTTACCTTTAGCACTTTAGGGTTTAGGGTTTAGGGTTTAGGGATGCATCTCACATCTTTGAGGCGCTCAAGCTCCTTTTGTGTCGAGGTTTACCACGGCTAGGCAATGGAGGAAGGAATCCCTACAGTAGCCCTTCTGAAAGCCTCAAGAATCACCCATCCCGATGTTCCATACATCCATTCCGTACTAAAAACCTGTAGTCATCAGAGTTGGCCTTAAATTTCGCCCTAAACCTTTTTTTGTGTCGCCAAAAAACGAGCCCAATTTTGTTAAAGCCTTCCTAACTAGCCTTCCTAATTAGGGGTTGATCTATGGACCTGCACATCGCGGCATGAAGTGCCTAAATGCTGCTCTCTGTTGGAGCTTCAAAGGCCTTAAACCCTAGACCCGAAGGAATGGTTAGAGAGGTTGCAATGCAATATGTTATGGGTATCTAATCCCGGACAGCCCAACTTTGAGAAAGGGTTTAAGTTTTCGGGGTTTCCGGCCCTAAGCCCTAGACCCTAAATCCTAAACCCATAACCTCAAACGATTGTCCTTTGGAACATCTCTGACTGCAACCTACCTGAGCTATAGTCTAAACTCCTTAAAGTGGGTGTTACTGGAAAGTATTATGGGGGTAAAGGGGATACTTGGAGTTAAGACTATAGCTCGCTTGGGTATGGAGGCCGCGCTATGAGTCCAGGCCCTGAACTCAAGCCAGCGTCTGCTCGATGCGAGCAACCCCTACGCCAAATCCCAACTGCAGAATGAGTCCCAAAATCTCCTTCACCCAAGTACATCCTAATTCCTAAGCCATCGCCCATAAAATCTAAGCCCTTAGCCTAAGACCCTAAGACCTTCCTAATCCTTCCGCCCTGAATCCCTTGAGCCCTCAACCCTTAACCTAAGCCTTACATTAAACCCCATATACTATAAGCCCTCAACCCTAAACCCTAAGCCCTAAAAATCCAAGCGAAAACCTGTCGCCAGGCTCGGGCGCCGTGGAGAAGGAGGAGTTCATACAGCCCTTGAGTCGATGGGTGCATGAGTCAAAGCCCCTCATTCGCAGACGGGATGCTGTGGAGGGTTTTTTCAGTATTAGGCTTTAGATGGGTTTAGGTTTAGTAGGGAATATGCGAATATGTTATACAGGGATTATATTCCCTACTTCCCTACTAGCAACTAGTAAGATGTTCTGAAGGGTTTTCATGCTTGAAAACACCCAGGTCCTTTGCAAAGGTTCTATGGTTTCGGGGGTTTCTCAAAAGGGAGTACCCAGGTATACATCAGAAATTTCCGAACGGAAGCGATTTGGCCCTGATTTCGCACACAAGGGGTTGAGCAGAGTGTATATACGAGTTCTGAGGATTAGGAGGGTTTAGGGTAGCTCAAGTAGTCCCTATCAGCAGATACCCCTCACCAACCCCCCCTAATGATTCATAATTATTCCCCGATTATACAATGGCATCATATTTTCTTGGTGTTTACTGGCAGGGGAGGATCCAGAATTCGATGCGCGGTTCTATGGCTAAAATACTGTTCCCTGCTTATAAACTCCGGTATCCGAAGCAGAGCGCTTTTTTCTGACGTAGCTATGGTAGTGACAGTTTACGTTCTAACGAAGTCTCCTGTCAAAGGAAGGCTGGCATATTCTTGCAAGGTACCCTTGGAGTGGGCAGAAGACAAGTGTGAGCTACATTGTCAAATATTGAAGGCGTAGTCCCCAAAGGACATTTAAGCAGCACTCAACATCACTTCAAGAACATTCCATTGCATTACAGAGCAGCCTGAAGACTACCTAAGGGACATGGCCAGAGCACCCAAAAAAGTGCCGAAAGAGCACGCCAGAGCACGCAAAAGAATTCAAAGAATGATGACAACATTTTTGTAAAACAAGTAATGATAGATACAAATACTTTATAGTGGCTCACAGAAAACCTCAGAGCACACCGAGAGAACGGCAAAAATGTGACGACGGTTACGAGGACCGCATCCCCCAAAGTCCAAAGGCAACGACAGTTAGCCCAGAGGGTCCATGTACCCAATAACTAGGTACTTGGGATTTGGGTAATAGTAATTATAGTACAGGTTTGGGGTAAGTATATGGTTATTGGGTACTTGGACCCTTAGGTTAGAACAAGGATTGCTACCCTGAGCTTGATCTCGAGGAAGCAAAGCCAGTTGTAAAGATCGCGAACACTGGGATATTTGTATTGGGGTTATATAGGGATAATGGAAAAGAAAATGGAAACCTACAATAGTATAGGGTTTAGGGTTTAGGGTAGGGATAATGGACTAGAAGGCTGGGTAAGCCCCTGGGATATTTATTTTTTCCCTAATGGCTTTAATAGGGGACCCTATATATTAATTTTGTTCAAAGGGGGTTTAGGGGCCAACCCAGGAACAAGTGCATAGGATTTCTGCGAGAGCACGATTTCGAGCCAACTGGAGAGGATGCTACATTTTGGAACCCAAAACCCTAGACCCTAAACCCTAAATCCAAGCGATTTCAAGCCGGACCCCTGCAGACACGGAAGACCAAGCGTCCACTCCATTCAATTCCTTTTGCTCTAAAAACAATGCAAGGCTTCACGGGTGCAGGCGCAGTTTGTAAACGATCTGTAGAAGACTTGAAGGGTGTACGTACGATTAGTGATACCCGGCACATTTCTCATGGATATGCCTCAGACTTTTCATTCGAATGTAGCAGTCGGGCTTAGGACGGCTACGCGCTTCATCAAATACAACGTGGCTCGTGCTTTGCACGAAAATGAAGAGCTGCTGGGCTAAAACGTTTAACATTCGCACCTAAATATAGGGGCCTAAATCGTGACCAATATCATTTTGGGTTTTACTCGAGGTACATTCTACCATACCTAAATCATCTTGGTAACCATTTGGGCTTCTACGTTGCGCCAGCTCTGGCCCCCTCGCATTTCTGCGGCTGAGCAGGGGGTGCCTGGAGTGGCATGTAGGCTTTCTGGAGTTTGTGGTAGGATTTAGGGTTTGGGGTTTAGGGTTTAGGGTTTTGTGGATTAGGAATCATGCTTGTCTGGGAGAAGTTGGACATTCAGACCTCCAGATCCCGACGTAGAGACGGGACCAGAATCATTCGATCAAAATGTACGTAGTGATTCAACCTCCTCAGCCAACAAGACCCCCCCCCAAGATAAGCCTTCCTCCATGATATGTTGGCACTGTATTGGGTATTTGTGGGTAGGCGTTTTTTTTTTTAAGGGGAGGGGGTTATAAAGTGTTCTGATTGCCTATCTATGAGGGAAACTACCTGGACCCCACAGCATGCGGTTCACAGCATGCGGTTTGGGGTCAGGGCTTAAGGTATACAAGCCTTGTTGAAAACATTGCGGGAGTGGGCTATGATTTTACCTGCCTTAATTCAAGACGAGGTAGTTACAGTATTTATGACCCCTGCACCCTAAACCCAAGCCACGCGCATCCCGGTCCCTGGTACCTGGGGTTTCGTGCACAAAGAGATGCGGCGGCCTGATGAGGGAATTCCCAACACCCTACTACCCAATATACTAATTATGTAGTAGTTTCCATTTTCTTTTCCATTATTCCCAAATAACCTATAATACCTCATATTATCCCAATATTGCCTACCCGCCCTGCCCCCCCCCCCTCCCCCTCCAGTTTAGATCCTAATGCCAAAGCCCTACAGTTCTGAAACCTGAAATCCTAAAGCTCCAAGCCCTGAACTCATAAACCTTAACTGGATCCTAAATACCATGTGACTGTTGTGAAGCAACTGCAACCTCAAAATCGGCAGGTTACGGGAATACACCAATGCCAGATTTGTCGCCTGGATGCTTCTAGAGGGTTGTCAAGCTCATAGGTTTCGAGTTTTTGGGGTCCCCATGATAGTTCGATCCCTCAAATAATGTAGGGCGCTGAACAGGGGATCATAGTCTTGTCGCCCTGCCATGTCCGGATGAGGCTTACGGGTAGCGTTTGCGGTTTAGGGCGCCCGCGCTAGTCACATGCAGGACTGTAGAAACGAGAGCAAGGGTTCCGCGCACTCAGTGCACTTGTGAAGCAAACCCTGAGGACCCAAGTATACAAATAATACCGAGCATGGAGAATCACATGGAAAAAATGGAATGTGAAATGAAAACTGGTGTTTAAAATCGCCTATATAGTGTCTGAGTATACAAATCATACCTGCATTGAGTCCTAAAGTCTGCAATTATTGACTAGCTTGGATTATTGGTTCCCTAGGGCAAT